TTGGCTTGATTTGGAGGGAAGTGGACTTAGCTCACTTTTGTGTGCTTTTTAGTCAATGTTATGAAAATGGCTTGTAGTTACCCATCATCAGGAATGATACCCAAGGGAGCTTGGGTGGACAAGTCCCAATCATGTGATTTTGAGATAAGCATGGGTTTGGGTGAGTTGTTAAAGTGGTTAACCACTTTTTGGGAAATCCAAAAATGTGGTTATCCTTTTTCTAAATATGGTGTGGTGGCTTGTGTGTGGCTTGTGTGTGGCTTGCATGACTTGCATGAAAATGGATATTGGTGATTTTTTGGATTTTCTCTTGATTTGGTTATTACCTAAATTTGGGCATTTTAATCATTGAACTTTACATTTTAGGCTTGATTGATTTTTGAATGTGATGAGAGGGTTTAAATTTATGTCATGATGTCATTTATTTTATTTTATTTTATTTGGATTTGATTTTGTGTTGGTGAGCTTGGGCTTAGATTTGGTGGATTTTGGGCTTAGAATTTATGATGATGGAATTTGGAATTAATTTTGTGCTCCTAAATTTTGGCTTGAATTTTGGTCATGGTTAATTTAATTTAAGTTCATAAGTGAGGTTAATTAATGTGGGAATGTTAATTATGAAGGCAGGTCCATGAGGGCATCAAATTTGTGTCTTGAAGGTGGGTTCTAGTTGGCTGTCAAAAAAGGGTTTGATTTGGTCTTGGATTTTGGATTGTAGAAATTTTTGAAATAAGAAATTTTTGAAATTTTGATTTTAATTTTTGATGGTGGAGTGTATGTGAATTGTAGTGTGGGTGATGTGAATTATGGTGTATGAGTGTGGAGGTGTAAACTGAATTGTGATATGGTAAGAATTGCGGTGTTTCAAAGAATTAAACCCTAAATCAAAGGTCCTTTTAGAGCCTCTCCAATCCTTATGTGAACTCATCTTGAGTTTCAATGTGTCGGTCTCAATCAGCTTAACCAAGTGTTGAGGATTTAAGACCATACACATGAGACTACAAGGAGTCTAGAGGTGGCTTGAATTTTTAAGTGGTGTGGGTCCCAATACTAGTCCTCTAAGAGAGTCAGTAGGGAAGTCCTACGGCTAGATCCTAGGCTTTAGAGAGGGAAACAAACCTCACAAAAAAAGGAGAACAATGGCTTGTATGTAAATGCCTCATATATTGTTGGGGGCATGAATTAGAAGCAATTCACCGTTGGCACACACACAACCTTACCATAAAGAGGGTCTCTTTAGTAATTTTAGCTACCTACTCCCCCTTATTTCTTCTAGGTAACCTCATTAGTCACTCCTACCATAATCATGGATATGTCAAGAAATAAAGCTCTTTATTCAAAAAAAAATTTCTTGGTGAACCTTAATAAATTAGTGTCATAAATATTTTAAATAAGTGGTAGAGTTAGAAGCTAAATTTGAGAGACCTACAACTTTTAGCTTTATTGGTTGACAACTTAAAAGTTAACTTGATGCATCGTAACACATCATAGAGTGGCATCATAAAGGTCCCTGAAATAACTCTTTCTAATAAAGAAACTGATCAACCTTACTTCAAGAGGAAATTGATGTTACCCATCTTTTTTCTGATAACGGTTCCAAGACACTCATTTGTCTCATCTATACAAAATTTGCATAAATTATATGTTATTCATGTTATGCTCAATTGATTTCTTAAAATATAGGATTAATTGAGCCAAAGCTGTTGAACTTGTAGCTTTAATTATCACTACAATAATTAACATGAGATGATTAAAATTTATTATGATGAGGGACCTCTAATCAGCTTGCTTATTGTTCTTCATTCATTGCTTGAACTAGATTTTTCTTGTGAAAAGCATTTTTAGTCCAAACAATTAATAATATATAAGCTTAAATGAAGCTGCCTCGGTCTTTACTAGCAAATAAATGTAGCCCCAATAAAGAAGAAGATGACAAGAAGATAAGCTTGAAAAAAGGATCCCATGTATTTATAAATGGCCGCAATCATTGATGTATAGAGGGTTCACACCAATATCATTATTAAAGTAGCTAATGAGAAAAATAATCTCATTACAAAAATGAATATGATGGCGAAGTTTATCATTTTCTCTTTTATTGATCCATGAAAATAATAAATGTCTCTCATAATTATCATACTTTTTTAAAGTCACACTTTAAGGATACACAAGAATTAAAGAACTACATATTTGGGATAAATATTAGAAGAATACATGGAATCATAAACATATTTGAGTACATTTCTCCCAAAATCACTCTCCCATGAAGGCACTTATCCAACTAAGAGGGCACTCATAAAGAGCGAAGTACACTCGTCGAGCTCAGATGACACTTGCCTAACTCAAAATACTCATTTATCTAAATTCGGTGACTCCATATATTTAGCCAACAAAACCCTTAACTTTTGCCAAAGGTAGTTATCCATGTGTACTTAATGAGAGTCCAATTAATACATTCACGTGTCAATAACAATTATTATACTTTACTTTATTAAAATATAGCCTTTTTGTGGCCGTAAAAAAAATCTTATAAATATAGGGTTAGAAAACTTTTCCAACATAAGGTGATAGAGTATATATAGATATAAAATCCTTTGAAACTTCTTCATTCCTCTCTTTCCTTCCTCTCTGCTTCATTTTGTTTATCTTTCTCTCAACTCATGGTGCTACTAAGATCTTATGAGTTTTATAAACAGGGTTTGAGTATCGATACACATAAATTTAGATTCAATAATATAGTTCCTACATTTTAATAATCCTTACATTAACTTTAATTCTTTTTTTTCTATAAGATATTGATTTCTTATTGTATTTAATACGAAAGTGAAATTGATGCTACACAAAAAAAACTATGGTTCTAGTATAATTATATTGGATAAATTATTTGATAATCTTCAATCTATTTTTTTTTAGAACCAAACATTAAAAAAATCCTTGAAGTAATATGTTGTGGCACTCATGTATGCAATTGGAGAGGAGAAGTATATGAATTAACGAGATGATGTAGAACTTATATATATTTTCCATTGAATTGGAATGTAATTCATTGGATTATATTTGAGATCTCATTTCTTATGATGAGCATGACATTGCATGATTATGAATACTCCTGTGTCTCATTACTGAACATACAAGGAATGAATAATCCATTTTAATATATTTTTTTAAACTAATTCGATTATGTAATCCTTACTCATATAGTTTGATGATTCTCACTATCTTATTTGCAATATCGATTGTGAAGTGTATGCTTTACAACATTTGATATACTTAATTTCTCAAAATAAAAAAAATCTTACAATTACACATGTTCCGTACAATTTCGTAAAGATCATTTATGCATGGATTTATTTCATAACAATATAAAGACATAAATCAATAGACTATGTTGACTTCAACATTAACTTTCTATACAAACATTACTTCATTTAAAGAACACTGTTATGAATTTTATTTATGGACGTGTTTTGAATACAAAGAATTTATATCAATTTTAAGAAATACACTTATTCAAATATTATGCTTTTTGTGCATAACTATATATTATGGTTACTGTTTGATTTCTTACAATTACTCTTTGTATTATGACTGGTATGTTCATTTCTACTAATCTACTTTGCGTTATAAAATAATGTTATGACTAATTCCATTCTCTTAACCTATTTTTTGTTTTATAAGTATTATATTTTTTATAAGAAATGCATTTTGTCGTGTATTGTTGTTATGATTATAGATTCTGTTGCCTTATCTCAAGGTATATTTTATAAATCAATCATGATCAAATGATCACTCAATAAAGATCCAACATAAAAAGAATAATGATTGACTCATAATCAATCCATCCAGAACAATTTTTTGCATATTATGAAAATCAGAATTTAAAAATGATCAAATAACTTTGAACACTGATCATGTAATCTTTATATTATGTTTGGATCCTCTCCAATCTATAAGTGGATAATAATAATAAGTTCTTCATATTATGATGTAGACATCTTTGAGCAGTGATCAAATCATTTTTAATCACATTTTTGTCTATTTTGGAATAAGGAGTGATTAATGAAGAACAACCTTTGAGTCTATTTTATATGCTATGATTATAAAAGAAATAGTTGATGATTATTTCCTAAGGTTTTATCATGAAGTTTGTAAAAACAAAAGTTTACTGTCAGAAAATCTTATAATTGTGTTCATATCACACAAAACTTATATATTTATATATCTAAACACAAATTTTGTTATATTGATACTTAATTTTTAAATAGGGATATATGCTTTTTAAGTATGGTTGAGAATTTACCACCGAGATCATTAATCTTTAGCTTGAATCAGCTATGAGCTAAAATTTATCGAATTTTCTTCAGTCAATTTTAAGCCATATATAGATCGGCTTGAATCGGCAACTCGAACTTTTATTTATTTATATTAATTGTATATTTAACATTTAAAAAATTAATTTCACTTTTTTAAATATATGTAAGGCAATATGTATGTAAAAGTAGAAGTTTAAACGTTAGATATATAAATATATAATAATTCAACATTATGTAGTTACATTTTATAATTTTAGAATGTAAAAGTAGTAAGATTTTGATGTAGTTTGTTTGTATTTATTTATTTTAAGCTAGACCACTTTTTGATTTTTGCTGTTGAAAGGATCTAAATAGCTCAATTCGAGGCCTATTTAACTTCGATCTAAACTGGCTCGAAATTGAATATAACCAACTACAAGCTGATTTCAAGTCCTGTTCAAGCCCGTTCTAGCCAATTTTAAGTTGATCCCAACTCTACTCAAAATTAGATTGGTCATAATCTTATTTAAGCATAGATAAAAAGTAATAAAAGACAAAATTCAATAAATAAATAAATAAATACATAAAAATTATGTGATATTTAAGTAATTTTTTTCCTTACAAATTCAGGGCCGCACTCCTTGACGGCACGTGGCACTACGTGACCTAACGAAAATATTGAAAAAAAAAAAGAAACCTTCTTTAATTACGAAGGTAAGAGAGAGAGAGAAGGGATAGAGAGAGAAAGGGCTCCTATCCGCCGCATGATCCCCGTCTGGCCCTCAACCTCGTCTCCGGTCAGCAACAAAATCGCCACCACAGCTCCAGAATTTTCCATCTTTAAATTTAGTCACGGTTAGCTCACGATTTCTTCTTTCATTCCTTCAGTTATCATTGGTTTCTCAAGTTCCCCTATGTGGCGCTGGAGTCTTCTGATTGCTATTTTTTTCTTTGCTATGTAGACTGAATTCGATTTCCTTTTCATCGACTTGTGGAAATAGAGTTTTTATTGGATTTTGGGGAGTTGGTTTGTGTTGGCGCCTGTGATCTGGTGTTGGAGGTGCCATAATGGCGTGCCGGGGTTTCCTAGAGTTTCTCTTGAAGCTGTTCAATTTTCTGCTGTCCATCTCTGGATTGGCGATTGTTGGTTACGGGATCTATCTGTTGATTGAGTGGAATCGATTTTCTCCGGGGAGCGGAGATGATCCGATTTCGCCGGTGAGTGATGGTGCAGAAATCTGGAAGCTTGGTCGTCCGATGCTTCTCGTGACGACCTTGTCTGGTAGTTTTGCTGATAAGCTCCCGACTGCTTGGTATGCACGCCCTTTATTTGCCATTCATTTGTTTCCTTTTGCAGATGCATTTAAACACCCAAGTTTTTTTACTATGTATTTCCAGTTCATGAAGGCATAATAAAAGGCAAAACGTATAATTAACAGGAATTGACACGCCATTTTCTTCTCCGTTTTTGTCGATTATATTGGTTTATGCCACGGTTACCACTCGTTATTGAGGAAATAAAAGAAAATAACTTGGTACCAATGTTTTTTATGATTCCTTCTACCTCTTTAAGTGCAAGTTTCATTAAGATGATGGGTTGTTTTTTTTGTTTTTTGTATTGATCTTTCTTCGGTTTGTTAGTAGAATCTGGTCCCTCTGTAACGTAGTTTGTTCTATTTTTATCTTCTAATAAATGATATCCGAGTAAGGTTATGATGGTCATGTAGCTAGAGATTGAGAGGTTTGATGGTTCAAAAAATGCTGGCCTTTGGACAACCAAGAAACTTGATGTACTTGTTCAATAGGAGTTTGTAAAAGCCCTTATGAAGCGTAGCAAGGTGCCTGGAATTATGAGTGGAGAAAACCAGTGAAACATGGAAAGCTCACTTAGTGATTCAATTGTTTTTGGCGAACAAGGTTTGTAATGGTCTCAGAGAAAATAATGGCAGAACATTTGTAGCTTAAGCTGGGGACTTTGTACCAAAATTCTCTCCAATAAACTTTATAAAAAGCATAGATTATTTAATTCGCATCCACAAAGGTTCACCTATTAAATCACATTTGAATGAGCTTAATTCTATCATTTGAGATTTCATGCTACTTATGTGATTGTTAATAATGAAGATTAAGTTTTATTGCTGTTGTGCTCTTTATCTACATCTTATAAGCACTTTCGAGACTATTATGTGGTCGTGATTCAATTCTTTTGAGACTATTATATGGTCGTGATACAATTAGTTTTGACAATGCCAAGAATTCATTTCTTTCAAAAATGGTAGTTTCTCGAGGGAGGCGATAAACCATCTAATAATTTATTGTAGGTTGGAGGGATGCTATATGATGAAACGTTCTTCTCTAATAATGTCAGGAGTAAATATCATAGTAAATTCATAGAGATTATTTACTTCTTTTGTAAGAAGAACAGGAAGCGGAAAAAAAAAAAAAACATTTTTTAAAGGTGGCAAAAGAAAAAAAAGCAAATGACGATCAGAAAAGGATAAGTTAACTAATGCAAAGGTTATTGCAGATTTTTTGAGGGTTTGAAATTAATGATGCTCTTTTAGTGACAAAAGATAGAAGAACAATGAATCTTATACTCGACTTGTTTTATACATAACTGTGTCAATTTAAATATACATGTTCTACATGTAAGTCAAATTTTGGTGGCTATTTTTGTATAAAAAATGAAGCTTTGTGCAAGATTGTAGATTTGGACCTTCAAAAGTTAAAGATATATGGTGGTTTAAGTATATCGTTGGCTTGAATTAGATATGTATTAAAGTTAAAAAGAATAATCTAATATTTTTAAGCACTCTTAGTGTTAAGAGTAATACTAAAACTCTTAACATTAGTAAGTGTGTTTTGGTTGATTCTATGTGTTGAATATTACAATGTCACATGTTTATGTGTTGGATGCAACAATTATGTTGGTAACTCATGGAAGCAAAAAATGACACTTAAGTATATTTCCTAAAGTACAAAAAAAGTGGGCCCTACTGTGAAATTATTACTGATGCTGCTTGAAGAATATTGCAAATTAAAATTTCTATAAAGCGGGAGTCTATAAAAGGCGAATGGGCACTAAATAATAAATAAAAAACTCAAAATAAAAGAGACATCGATTTAGGATTACTAAGGTTAAAAAATAGAGGAGGAGATGATGGAGGCCACTGAGAATCAGCAACTGTTATGCAACCAGCCAGAAACTGAAGCAGGAAGTTGGTAGCAAGTCAGGCGGCATAGGAGGTCCTTCTATGTCCAGAAGAGTTCACCATCTTGATTCAATCATATTACATGCACAACATCTGAAAGAGATCAAATGATACAACACTCTGACACAAAAAAAATTAAAAAAAATTAGTCTTTAATGCATAAAACAAATCAAAAGTATCATAAACAAAAGAATACAACATACTTAAAGGCTCAAAAGTAAAAGAAACTCTAATTAATATCCTAAATAGGTAAATTTGGCTCCTATACAAGCTGGTCTGGAAAGTGAATTGTTGCCTCCTTGGACTATTATGGTCTCGGTTTACATAGGAGGCAATGCATGGCATTCACGTCATTCTCCCTTCGTAGGATAGGGCTTGTTGCCATCACCATAAGTATCTAGATCCTCACAGTACGACGATGGATCAATGACGTCGAAAGTGGCAGAGATGTTATAATCCCGACTAATCAATTTTGTATGAATTGTTATTAATATTTATGGCCATTCGAATTGGATTATAAGCACTTGACTTGACCTTCCTAAATGAACCTTTGGGGAACCTTTTTTTCGAGGAACCTCTATTTCTTCAATTTGATTCATATTGAGTTTCCTTCCTAGAGATCCTAGAAATTTTTGGATTTATTCGCTTATTTCTTGGTGCCTGGTCCTCATCTACTCATGAAGGGTCTGAGTCTATAAAACTCTAATCTCGACATCAATGCTAAGCTCAATAGTGGGGAGTATTGATACAAGCTCCAAGGGTGTGAGGGGGTTTCACCAATATGCAAACTCAAAGGGGATGTGATATGCAGATTGGCTGGTGAATCGGCAAGCAAAATCAACATGTGGAAGGATCATATTTTACCTTTTGATATTCTTGCCCACACAACGCCTTAGTTGGTTAGATATACTACAATTCACCACATCTATCTATCTATTAATTTGAGTTTGAGCTACTAATTGAACCGATGCTTTGTGCAAGTTTACTTCATAAAGTTCTCAAAAAATGGCTCAGAAATTTCACTTTCTTATCTGAAATTATGATTCTAGGCACCATAAAGGTGAACTACGTCTCTGAAGTACAAGTCTACAATATGTGAAGCATCCATCATTTTATAACAAGCCACAAAGCTTTCCCTCTTGGAGAAATGATTTACCATCACCATGAAAAAACTCTTATCCATCGTCTTCGTGACATGCTAACTATAAAATTCCTTTTAGACTCATTCAATTTTTCAATGAAGCAGGTTGTAGGGTGTCTTTGACCCAACAAGACTCTAATTCCTAAATTTGAGATATCACACTTTACCTTAAACACTTTACTGAAGTCTAAAGAGCTAGAACAAGGTCCTGAGTGACTTATTTCTTGAAAGCTTCAAAACTTGCTTGTGTTTCATATAGATCAAATGAATTTGTTAGACTTAAGGAGCTCCATTAGGGGTGCCGCTATTGAGCTGAAATTTTTGATAAATTTTATCTAAGAAGAAGTCAACTCATAAAAGCGGTGTACCTAAGTAAATAATTGTGGACCAGGCTAGTTAACGATTGCCTTGATTTTGATCAGATTCATCTCAATGATAGTTGTTGATACAATATAATCAATGAAACCAATTGTGTAGTTAGGAAATAACATTTTTTTGGATGACCATATAATTGGGTTCGAAGCATCTAACACTTTTCTGTGAGCGCTATATGTGATCCCCCACAGTATAGTTGTACATATAGAAATCTTCAAGGTATACAACCATGAATTTCTCGATAAATTCTTAAAAGATTGATTCATTAGCTGCCTGAAAGTGCTTGGAGTGTTTTTCAGGCCAAGGGGCATAATTGTCCACCCTTACAATATGTTTGAAATCTTTAATGTTGTCTTCTACTCATCTTCTAGTCTCGAGTTGGGAAGTAACTGGTCTCTCCCTAGATCGATCTGGTTTCGTGCTGCCCGTGAAGCAGAATGTGGGTCATCCACTTCAAAAAGAGTAATGTAATAACAAGACCATGTTCAACAAGTTTATTGTTGATAAATTGAGCTATTTCAAACTCGTCGTTAACCTTTACGACTGATGATGTGGAGGTGTGTCATATAGAAGTTTTTAAAACACAATCATTTAGTTCATTAAAAAATTAAACTTCAAGTGGAAGATTGTTAAGTAAATAGTCTCACTTTATTAATTACCTTATAATACTTGATCTTGATTTTTCAAGATTGGTAGCCACCACAAAATCTTAATTGGTGGTTGTAAAAAGTTTTAAAATGAGAGTGCTACAGAGCCCTAAATGGAGGCCATCATGAAGCCTTATATGGAGGCCGTTATAAAATTCTAGAATTGAGTCTGTGAAAGCATTCAATGATGGTTGATTTTAATGATAGAAGGTGAATAATTAACTATATAAACCCATATAATCCTCTTTTGTAAAATATGCATAAGAAGCAACAAAGAGATAGGATGATGAGAGAAGGGGGTGTCATCTAATAAAAAATAAAGGGGTCTTTCAGATACTTGCAAGTGGAGTTATGCAGCTTCTTTAAGAAAAAAAAAAGTCTAGCCCTCATCTTTGCAGTAGGTGGTTGCATTTTCTCTCAGTTAGACAAAGTGTTATGTTTGCTCTTATGTTTAATTTCTTGTGAAGAGTAATTCTTTATGTATTTCTTTTGAAATTTAGAGGATTATTTCATCTTTGGGTGGCCATGGATGTGGGCTTCCGCAAGAATTTAGTTTTTCTTTTATAGTCCTTGATTTTTCATTATAATTGCCCTTTGGTTCATCGTATTTACTGTTAGGTGAGGGCACTCTATTTTCTAAACAATTGTATATAAACTATATGTATACCATTTTCAAAGTAACTTATCTTAAGTGCCCGGTTGATGGTAAAAATATGGAAATAATATTCATCAATCAAATTTAATATGGAAGCAAATAACCAGAGTAGAATTCACATTTATTTGAGGAATGGATGACATTCCTTCCCCTCTCGCAATACTTTTACATTATTCCACTGTCATATATTTTTCCTATTTACTCTGGTCTCTTGCTATTTTAACTTATCCTTATACTTTTCAACCATGTAATTGAAGATAAATAATCATGTCAAAGGAACAAA